AAAATTTATGGAAAAGTCTCGCCTTTCTGAAAATGCATATATCAATACAAATTTCTAACAAAATCTAATGTTTCAGACCTATTTTATTCAAAGGCTTACTCAATATTCGCCAAATACAATGACTTTCTTATCAATACGTCTCCCTGACAAACTAATGATGCAGAAGTGTTTGTTTTGAGGTCCTCTATCATCGTGCATTCAAACCCCCAATGTGTGCAAACATCACCAAAAAATTGTTGTACTGTGTTTTTGTAGAAATCATCTTAAAGTCAAGTACGTTTTGATAATTCCATGAAATGCGTTATCTAGTTCTTCTTCAAACGGTGAACTGTTTTCATGTGTTGATTGGCATCACTTTCCATGGTGAAGCTTGCTGCACACATTTTGCATTGAATCCGCTCTCTCGGTGTGATCTTTTCGCATGTGAATCTCCAAATTTTGTTTGTCTCGACGATACTCTTTGCACAAATGGCATTGAAACTGACGGTGGCCACAGCCTTCTTGATGGGCAATTTTTGCATCTTCGGTTGCGTCATAGGGGTATTGCAGCGACCATAAAATATATGCATTTCATCAAGTTTATCAAGCTCTTTCCAAGTTTATGCATAGTGTTGAACTTTTGTTCAAGCTCTACCATCTAAATGTACAGTAAAATAATTTACGGACACGACGTAAGATGGCGTTTTTTCTGGTCAAAAAAGTTGCAATATCCCTTTGGGTTGCGTATCCTCCAAAGTATTTGGAGCATTGGAATGGGAACCGATCCCCATGTGCTGATGACAAATGTCGATTTAACTTCAACTGTTGGACGAATTGTTTGCTGCAAATTCCACATTGCCGTCGTGTTTTGATTGCATGTGCCACTTCAACGAACGCTTGTAAACAGTAATGTAACAACACTGATTGCATGCATAAATACCTCGTTGGCCACGCATTTCGTGTGTTTGCTTATCTTCTGGAGTGGCGAATCGTCTTTGTGGGTCATCGAATGTTGTCGGAGGTTAGAGCTGTCCAGAAAAGATTTGGAACAAATTGAGCACACGAACGGCTTTTCCCCGGTGTGAATCCGCATATGTCTTTCTAAGTTTGGTTTGTTGATATGTTCTATATCCACAAATATCGCATTTGAATTGCTGGGAATCGCATAGTCTTTCATGATCGATCATGACTGATTCTTGCTCAAATCCTTGATTACATTTTGAACAACGAAATTGGCCATGCGTTTTCTTGTGCTTGTTCAGATTACCTCTTTGTGTCAAATTCGACACTCTTCTTTATTCTGCGTTTGTATGATCTTTCAACGCACTCAATAACAACGTAACAAATTGGACACCAGTTTGTGCAACAAATGGATTTAACTTATTCTTAACGTGCAACTCTAGCGAATGATCACGATTTTCTGATCACGATTGACTGACTGAGAGTTCTAAATACGGCCCCTATTTAAAGCAAACCACTTTCCAATTAAAATTTCTTAACAATAATGTGATAAGACACATGGCACATGGCACTCGTCTGATCGTTGGAATATTCCTTTGTATGATCGAAGACAACAAACCCGTTCAGTGCAAGCTCAGGTGACTTTTCTAGTCATTGATTACGCACGTATTGCACAAGCTAATTCATGTAGAAATAGTTGAAACTTGAAATATTGCCTATTTATACGATTAGTAAGTCTTGTTCATGTGTATAAACATTTGTTGTTCAATTACCTGCGGCAGAGAACTACTCAATCATAGAAAAAACCCGTAGAGGATCTGTGTTTTATGTTTGATCCCATGAACAAAATAGTCTAATTTTCGAGCCAAACTACGGATTTCCATGTAATTCCGCAGATAATATGAAGCTACTCATGACATATTGAAGTCTACAATAACAAGTACATCAAATACATTCAATGTAACAGCAAAGAGAAGGCGACGTAATAATCATTCTCCAGAAGAGAAAGAAATGATAAGAACACAATGTAACAAGTATTTTTTTCAACAAAGTTAGTTTGAATACTAATTAATAATAATCCACGTAAACGATGGCATGTATTATAAAACCGGTTTATTAAGGAAATAATGAGATAATCGAAAGATATTTGTATCAGTCTCTTAGCTGTCGTTGCAAAATGTACGTTTATCTCTTCTTCCCGTCCTATTTTATAAAATCTTTAAAGTACAAGTAAAACCCGCGTGCCATCCTCCACTTGTATTAGTTTTACATTGAAGGGCGCTGCACGTACCTTAACATTCATAATACAAATTTAATGCGAGTTGAGGCGCCCTATGAAAAATGGCACAGATTGCTCGTGCTACGGTTAACTCGTACTTTCATATTTAAAAATATTCATATCAGTCAGATGTGCGTTCACCCGTGTGCAAATAAAATGACTAACAGTCACTCAGTTGTATGTAACTGTATGTAGTGATACACAACTAAAACTGGCTAAGTTGATTGAAATCATGCGTTTTGTATGGAGACAATCACGTTTAATTATTCTTTCAGTCAGCCGACTAATTTGGGACATTTTGACTAAGAGTGATTTGTGATTAAAGTTAACTGCAGTTGCTTATTTTGTTCGAGACAATCACTTTTAGTCAGTCAAAATGTCCCAAATTAATCGACTGACTAGTCAGTCAAAAATTTTCCACACGGGCACATTTGTGACGTCCCGTGTTTCTGTGCATATGCATAGGCGTGTGCTGCTGGTTTTCCAACTGGAAATTGAGTGTCAATGCATGAGCTTAAATCAAGCGGGTATTTGCGTGTGTTGTTTCAACCTTTTCTGATTTTAGTTGACGATTAAGCGCTCGTTCGTATCACGGATTATTTGAAATTTGGATTATTGTTGCAGATTTTTTAAAATTATTTTGGTGTTTTGTTCAAACAAAGGTATCTCTATCAGTGTAGCTTCTATACAAATTCAATCAATTTTAAAGCTATTAACAGTTTAGATATATACACATATAAGCGTGATATTTGAAAAATAAAGAATGTAAAATTATGGATTGTGAATTGAATTGAATAATCATTGTGATAAAAACTCCGACACTTTATTTTTTTTCTTCAAAAATTGAGAATTTATTCGTTTTTTTGCTAGGTGCGAGGTTCAGCGATACTTCATCAAATGCATAAAGTCATTTCGAAATCTGACACCTTCAATAATTTAGTGGTAAGCATACTCGATTGATTTAACATATTTCAATGGACTCAAAGTGGAAAAAAATATTATGGGCAAAAGCTGTCGTAGCTTTGGATTGAAATGTGATACGTTACAAGCTGTTTATAATTATATGTTCCACACTTTGTTGGATCCTATAAGCATTTGTCGCTTTCGCAAGCAGAGCTGACATAGGCACCTACGAGGTGCCGGCACTTACTTCCTTGGGTGCGCACCTAGTACTATTCGAAAAATAAATTTTGAGTATTTTTGAGATTGATATAATTTTTTAAAAATAAATCTATGATATTTAGATGATAAAAAAAATCAAATTTCAAAACATCCAAAAATATTGAGAAAAAAGGCATTTTGAAATAGTACTAGGTGCGCACCCAAGTAAGTGCCGGCACCCCGTAGGTGCCTATGTCAGCTCTGCGTAAGCCGGGAAAACAGCTGCAAAATTAATTCTTGACTAAAAAGCAACATTCTTCTGACTCTTTTCTTTATTCGGTTTCAATTTATTTCGCTTTTGTTCTGTTTTATTCACAATGCGAGCTTTAATCTATAGAGATAATTATGAATTTTTATTTTGGAAAATATTAAATGATATTTCAAATTCGGATGCATGCTCGTTGTTACGATTCAAAGAAATTCTTGATGTGACTGTCTTTTGTGTGTATGAAGCTGTCTATTTTTGTAGGATTCGTGTCTAATTGATGTTGATGCCAAAATCAACTGCATTTTAATCAATCTAAGCAATGCGTCACTTATTTCTGCTTCAAACGATGAACTGCTTTCATGTGGTGATTGGCATCACCTTTCCTGGCAAAGCTTGCTGCACACACTTTGCATTGAATCCGCTCTCCAGTGTGATCCTTTCGCATGTGAATCTGCAACATTTGTGTAGAACGAGAATGCTCTTTGCACAAATGGCATTGATACCGGCGGTAGCCACAGCCATTTTCATGAACCTCTTTCGCATCTTTGGTTGCGTATCCTCCGAAGCACTTGGAGCATTGGAATGGGAATTGATCGCTATGTGTTGATGACAAATGTTGGTTCAAATATATCTGTTTTACGAATTGTTTGCTGCAAATCCTACATTCGATCGACCGTTTTGCTCCGTGCATTGATTGCATGTGCGCCTTCAAGCTATGCTTGTGAACAGTTTTGTAATGACACTGATCGCATGCCAAAACACTTCGTTGGCAGCGAGTTTCATGAACTTGCATCTCTTCTGGTGTGACGAATCGTCGTCTACATTTCGAACATGCATTTGGCGGTCCATTGATGTGAGTCATTGAATGCCTATGAAGATTAGAGCTGTTCACAGTGTGATATCCGCAAAAATCGCATTCAAATCGCTGGGGATTGCATAGTCTTTCATGATCGATCTTGACTGATTCTTGCTCAAATCCTTGATTACATTTTGAACAACGGAATTGGCCATGCGTTTTCTTATGAGTGTTCAAATTACTTTTTACGGCAAAGGAATTCAAACAAACATCACATCGAAACGGCTTTTCTCCAGTGTGAATTCGCAAGTGTCTTATGAGTTCAGCCTTGCAACGTGCCAAATGATTGCACACATGGCATTTGTGCTTCTTTTGCTTTTTGCTTGGTTGGTTCCTGGAAATCATCCGTTTGTTTCGTCTTTTGGAGATTTCATTCCGTTTCTTGCCATTGTTGATTAGATGCGGAGGTTGAACATCGACTGCGTCACCCATTGGCTCTTCGTTGTCATCATCGTGTGCGGTGCTTTCATTCGATCGTTCACATGGTGTCGAGTCTTTGTCTTTGCCCGTCTCTTCTTCTTCACATTTGATTTCAACTTTGATTTGATCGAAGTCATAGTCAAAGTCAATCGGCCTATCGTAATTCGCACGATATCTTCCATCAATTCTAGGCTTTGGTATATCCATGACGTCATCATCACGCGGCTCTTCCTTTATACCAGGCTCTTGCTTGACTTCAAATATTGCACACTTTGACTTGCGCTTTTTACGTCTACCACAAACACCTTTGAACGGGTTCATTTTCTGTTGGATTTAAGAAGACAATATCAAAAACAAATGATCAAAATTTAAAGTCAAGTATTAATTTATTAGTTACCCGTGTGGAAAAATTTTGACTGACTAGTCAGTCGATTAATTTGGGACATTTTGACTGACTAAAAGTGATTGTCTCGAACAAAATAAGCAATCGCAGTTAACTTTAATCACAAATCACTCTGAGTCAAAATATCCCAAATTAGTCGACTGACTGAAAATATAACTAAACGTGATTATCTCCATACAAAACGCAAGATTTCATTCAACTTAGCCAGTTTTAGTTGTTTATCAGTATCACTACATACAGTTACATACAACTGAGTGACTGTTAGTATTTTATTTGCACACGAAATAATTTGCTCAAATATTTAACACACATTTTATTTACTTTTATTTGGTTATTATTTACTAAATGTAAATCAATTGAATGCAAACCACGTGCTTGACGCGTCTTTGTAAAGATAAAGTACGCACGAAATGTACACTCATCGCATACGCTCGAAAATTGGGTTATGTATTACCAATTTTCATGAGCATCTATTGATTTTTATGATTTTTATTTTTACGAACGAATTAAAAAAATACATTCAACAATTGTCGTCCGAATTAATGAAAAGATGAAAAATACTCAATACTTACGTTTTTCGTCGCCTTTTTTCTACCGAAAGTATTTCTTCCACGGATCTCTCAAGATGTCTGTCTCACTCGGTGGTTGACGGAACAATCTAGAACGACATACAGTATGGACTACAGCAACGGAACTAGAATAAACACGCTTGCAAGCGCGCTGCTTGTGTTGGTATGTTTCGTCAAGTTCTCAACGACGCAAAGTGACACTTCATCTCCATTGTTAGCTGTCAATTTAGCAAATGAAGGGCTCAATTCAAAATTGTTAGTTGATATCATGAACAATTATTCTGTTTCAAATGCAAATGTCTGATTTGTGCAAATAAATGTTTCGGAACTAAACGTTTTGCTCTATGACAATAATATGCGCTATAAATGGAAAATATTCAGCAATGCATGCTCTAACGGCATCTATACGGTTTAGTTTGGAAGTATAAAAAATGCAGAAATGTCTGTAAGAAATGACATTTCAAACGTTATTCATGATTAAAGTCAGTGAACTTCCGATAGTAGGGACAAAAGCAACTCTGAAAGGTTTTGGAATTGCTGAATATATTACCATTGCGCTTCATAGCGTTGCTCTATGAACTTAATCCTGCAAATCGAATAACAAGAATCTGAGATAAATGAGCGAATGACATTGAAGTGGTTCAATTTTAAATTGGAAGCAATGCCAATAGAAACGACAAACCGCTTGATAAAAACATTTGGTTACCAAATAAAAACAGACTCATTATTTGTTTATGTTCAAATTTAAACCAATTAGTATCGCAGAGTCATGAATGTCTCGCGAATGCAACAAATGCTATTTTGAAATATGGCCAAACAAATACATGCAATTAAAATAAAATGATTCACGTTATCGTAAACCATCCAAATTGTAAAAATTGAACAAATAGACTAATTTTCTGCAAAACTTTGAAGGGTAACTGTTGTTTTTTATATCATATTTGAGAAGATCACGAAAAAAACTTCCGATATGAATATATGACTTATTTGTATTTTTTCAGAAAACTGGTTTATTTTAAATATGTTACAAATTGGATGGTTTACGTTACATGTTATTATCAACTCACAGCTGGCTAACGACTTAGTTTACTATAATTCTTTAAGATGCTATAGCGTCATTGTAAAATGAAACCGAATTATGACAATATGATTTTATGAGGGGAAAGAATTTGAACGAAATGCATTGTAGCTCGTATGAATAACTGAAATCACACAGAATCACTCCAAGTCATTTACCTATCGCTGTTGTCCAATCGATGGATTGAAGGAGAGTCGCATTGTTTTGTTTTGTTTGTAATCAAAAATAGCTGGAGTCTAAGTATGATGATTCTTGAAGTGTCGGCAAGAAATAGAGCAAATGGCCATATAATTGGAAGTCAATTCTAGTCGAATATTCGAACAATGTGACTAATGACCGACATACTTTATAGCTGAAACTTTGTATCAAAACGTACAAACTTGATTACAGTGCAGAGTTGGTTTTACCGAGAACTTCCCCTGAAGCATTGGTTTCTTTCGTTGGCCAAGAAAATTGCTTCGAAAGTAAACTCAGCAATGAAAAGCAACATTCTTCTACTCTTTTTCTTTTTCTTTTTCTTTTTATTCCGGTTTCAATTTATTTCTGTTCTGTTTCATTTAAAATGGGAGCTTAAATTTAAGGCGATGAATTATTATGTTGGAAAATAATAAATTATTGAAGCAGAAAGTTTCGGATGCATGCTCGTTGTTACGATACAAATTCTTGATGTTAAACTCTTTTATGCGTATTAGGCTGTCTATTTTTTTAGAAATCATGAAATCTTGATGTCAAAGTCAACTGCGTTTTAATCAATCTATGGAATACGTCAGTTAATTCCTCTTCTTCTTCAAACGGTGAACTGTTTTCATGTGTCGATCGGAATGACTTTTACTGGTTTAAAGCTTGATGCACACACTTCGCATTGAATCCGCTCTCCGGTGTGATCTTTTCGCATGTGTGTCTTCAATTTTTGTTTGTATCGACGTGGCTCTTTGCACAAATGGCATTGATACCGGCGGTGGCCACAGATGTCTTCATGAACCTCTTTCGCATCTTCGGTTGCGTATCCTCCGAAGCACTTGGAGCATTGGAATGGGAATTGATCGCTGTGTGCCGATGACAAATGACGATTTAAATCCATCCATTTGACAAATGGTTCGCTGCAAATTCCACATTCTATCAATCGTTTTGCTCCGTGCATTGATTGCATGTGCGGCTTCAAATGATGGATGTGAACAGTTTTGTAATGACACTGATTACATGCCAAAACACTTCGTTGGCAGCGAGTTTCGTGCGTTTGCTTATCTTCCGGAGTGGCAAATCGTCGTCCACATTTCGCACAAGCATTCGGTAGTTCATCTTTGTGAGTCATTGAATGCCTATGAAGATCAGAGTTGGTTGCAAAAGATTTGAAACAAATCGAGCACTCGAACGGCTTATCCCCGATGTGAGTCCGCATATGAACTGTCAAGTTGGATTTCACCACAGTGTGATATCCGCAAATATCGCATCCAAATTGCTGGGGATCACATAGTCTTTCATGATCGATCTTGTCCGATTCGCGTTCAAATCTTTCATAACATTTTGAACAACGAAACTGAAGCTTCGGACCATGCGTTTTCTTGTGACGGTTCAAATTACTTTTTCGTGCAAAGGACTTCGAACAAACATCACACTGAAACGGCTTTTCTCCAGTGTGAATTCGCAAGTGTACTTTGAGGTTAGATTTGTCACGTGCCAAATGATTGCACACATGGCATTTGTTCTTCTTTTGCTTTTGCTTTTTGGCCGCTTGATTCCTGGGAACCGTTCGTTTGTTTTGCCTTCTGGAGATTCCACTCCGTTTCCTCCCGCTGTCGACTGGTTTCGGTGGTTGATCATCGATTGCGTTACCCATAGGCTCTTCGTTGTCATCATTATTGACAGCATGGCTCTCATTCGATTGTTTACGATGTGCCCTCTCGTTCTTTTCCACGACCGTCTTTTCTTCTTCTTCTTTGATTTCATCCTTTAACACATCGAAGTCATAGTCAAAATCGAACGGCCTATCGTAATTCACACGATATCTTCCATCAACGCTCGGCCGTGGTATGTTCATGACATTGTCACCGCCGTTTGGTTCTTCTTTAATCACCAACTCTTGCTTGACTTCAACCGTTGCTGGCTTTGACTTGCGCTTGCAGCGTCTACCAGAAACACCTTTGAATGGGTTCATTTCCTGATTGATTCAGAAAAACAATGTAAAAAATCAATAGTCAAATTTTAAAATCAAGTATCAATTACCTAAAAATAATGAAAAGTGATTCAATTAAATGCAAACCACGTGCTTGATGCGTCTATTCAAAGAAAATGTGCGCATGAAATGTGCACTTGAAAGTTAGGTTATGTGTTACCAAATTTCATGCGTGTCTATTGCTTTTCATGATTTTTC